AATGGGGTACCAAAATGCCTATGGATTGATGCTTTTCACAAGGCTGTTTATGTCATAATTAGAATGGCGAACTCCTTATGATATATTTATGGTAAGCATGCAGATTATTCAAGTCTTCGATCTTTTGGAGGTCATGCTTATGTTCATATAGATCAAGGAAGGAACTTTCTCCTAAAGCAAAAGCATGCACTTTTGTCGGATATGAAGATGGTTATAAAGGTTATTGCTTTTACAACCCTAGACTTAAAGCATGTCCTTATCTCAAGAAGTGTTACCTTTGATGAAATGATGACGTGCAATCCACCTATTACTATTTTACAGCAAGATGAAAATGAGGTCCTTGAGGGTGTACTTGACGATAATCAACAGGAATCCATAATACAAAATGAAGTAGTTGGTCTACCTGGATGTCCTCCTTAGGACACTTGTCACCTGAGCATTGTTGACAAGGATGTTCTTCTTTGCCTTGGCGAAGATTTTGAATATCTTTATGATGAGGAACTTCCATCTGAGCAATAACCTAATCTTGTACCCAAGGAGTGGATTTTTATTGTAGACAAAACAAAATGGAGCAGGCTTGTTCCACACATATATCAGAAGGGCAACATTCTTGTAATGGTGGTGACATACTGGAAAGACAAGGAGATATTACCGGGCCAATTGCAGCAAGTTAAAATTTCTGAAGGTGTGCTCATGTTAGCCACCTTATAGACCAATGGATAAGTAATGGAGGCTTTGCAAATGACTATCATTTGTTTCTCTATGATGCTCTTAAACAAAAGGAACGTGCCAAGTATTATATCGAGATTAAGGATCCCAAATGGGTTGACGAAGTGGCCACAGAAATGAAGGCAATGTTTTTGAATAGCATGTGGGAAATTGTGAAGATTGCAGTTTGGAAGAATGTTGTCTTCAGCAAATGGGTGTACAAAATAAAATGCAAGTCCGATGGAAGTATTGAGTGATCTAATTCCATTAGTGGCAAAAACATTCAATCAACGGCATGGTTTGGACTATAAAGAAACTTTTAGCCCAATTGTTAACGTATTTATCCTTGGCCTTCACACATGGTTGCCCTCTCCTCCAACTTCATGTAAAAAAAACCATTTTTTCATGGAGAGTTAAAGGGAGAAATGTACATGGAGCAACCACCTGCCTTCAATGAAAATCTATTTTCAAACCGAAGAGATCTATTATGGTCTAAAGCATGCTCTCATACTTGGTTTCAAAGTCTTTATCATACAATAAAACATATGGTTTTACATGGACAATTGTGGGTCATTTCATGTTCATCCACAAGAGCTCTAAAGTATTGTGATCATTCTGTTAAATGTAGATGATATTATAATCACATGAAATTCTCCAGACCTTTGCAAATATCAAGGGATTTCTCCATGACAAGTTTAGGATGAAAGGTTTGGGAGAGCTGAGATATTTTTTGAGGATAGAAGTGGAATGGACCCATGACAAAATTCAATTGTCTTAGCATAAATATGCACTGAACTTACTAGAGGGATAATATGAATTGCAAACCATTAGCTCACCTGCAACATTTAACAAAAGATTGAGAGCTGGTGAGAAAATTAATTGATGATCCTGCAAAATACCGCAGCACGACATGTGCACTTAGCATCTTACCCTACCTCTTCCGGACATTGCATTTACTATAAATTCGGTATTCCAATTTAGACATGCTCCTACAGATGTTCACTTGTGAAGCATATTGTGCGATATATCAAAGATATTATTAATCTACGCTTCACATACACAGAAATCGTATATAAGATGTGTGTGTTGGTTCCATTGTTGTATGCTCGAATGCCGATTGGGTAGGAGATCTTGACTCTTGTAGGTTAGTTTCAGGATATTGAGTTCATTTAGGTAGAAATTTGGTATCCTGGAGGAGCAAGAAGCAAAAATCTATGGCCAAGTTTTGCACAAAAGCTGAATAGAGTGTTGGCTAGTGTTGTAGCAAAGATTTCTTTGATTGAGCACTTGATTATATCACTTGGATATCAGGTGCTGCACTCAATAACTTCTGGTCATAATTGGAGTGCACCATCTATCACAGCTAATCCTATTTTCCATGATCACACAAAACACATTGACGTTGATTATCATTTTGTAGAACCAAACATTGTTAAAAAAAGCGGACCGCCCAGCGCTGAGGTGGTCCAAAAGGCCCAGGCGCATCGCCCATGCCTAGGCGATAATCCCTGGGTGGCCGCCTAAGCGGTACGGAACTCGCCTAGGTGAGTGCCCAGCCCTGGGCCTGCGCCCCGCTTAGGGGTGGAAATGAGTTTTTTTTTGTTCTTTGAGTTTTTTTGAAACATAAAGGCTTTTAAGGATGGGTTTTAGTTTCATTTGAAACCTAAACCCACAAGAACTCATTTTAGAGAGAAAGAAACCTCAAAAAAACTAAATTTTGTGATTTCCATTGGATCGAAGTGTTTCTCAAAGTTACGGAAAAGGATCCAAGCATTATCTAGGTAGATTAGACTTAGTTTTAGAGTTTTTTAATCCTATTAAAGGGTGTTTTTTATTGTTTTAGCATCAGAAAACATCTCAGAGGTGGGAGCTTGGTGTTCAAGCAATCAAAGTAAGTGCAAAACTTTATTTTTTAGATTGCTTGTTTTATTTTGAGATGTCTTCCTTAGGATCTAGTCGAAGTGGAGATCGGGTTGGAAATATGGATATAACGCGAATCCAAATGACAAAAATTGCATTAGATGCAATTATTGTGAAAATATACAAAAGGGGGCGTAAACCGGTTTAAGAAACATCTTGCCGGTATTAAGGGGGATGCTGCTCTTTGTAAAGATGTTCATGAAGCTATCGGAGAGGAGATTAAGCAAACTATGAGTTTTGTAAAACAAAAACATGAACAAAATCCTTGTCATTTGAATAGTTCTATTTTTGGTTCTTCTAAAGAAAGTGATCCGGGTGGGAAGTATGGTTATAACCCAAAACCAAACGATAAAAATTGTTTAAGGTGTAATTTTTGTGAAAAAGATACCAATGGGGGTATTAACCGATTCAAGAAACACCTTGCCGGTATTAAAGGGAATGTTGCTTCTTGTAAAAAAGTTCTTGAAGCTATTCGGGATGAGATTAGACAATATTTTAATTTAAAAGAACCAGAAAAGGATGAAAATGAGCCTTGTTCTACGGAAATATTTTTTCCAGGTTCTTTTGGAAGTGGTGATCCGAGTTGGAAGTATGGTTATAACCCGAATCTAAATGACAAAAATTGTATTAAATGTAATTATTGTGGAAAGGATACTAATGGGAACATTTACCGGTTTAAAAAACACCTTGTCGGTATTAAGGGGGATGTTGTCCAGTGTAAAAGAGTTGAAGATTCTTGAGTGCTTGACTCTTGGTGTTGAGTGTTGACTGTCGAGTGTTGACTATTGTGTCCTAGACTGTATATTTTCTGAATTTCTGTATATTTTCGTTTTCTTATTTTTAGTTCTACTTTCTAGTTTCTACTATCTAACTTTTGTGTGTACAGTCTACAGTGTATCAAACTATCAGCGTATGCTGTATGGTTTTACTATTTTGGCATTGTATGAAAATATGGATTATGGTCTTATGGATTATCAAAATTCTCTTCTCGACTTCTATCTTTTTCTTTTTCTTTTTAACTGGGCCGCTCAAGTTCTTGGCGCCTGCTAGGCGCTGGGCGGCCTAGACCCCCACGGCCGCCTAGGTGCCACCTAGTGTTTTTTAAAACACTGGAACCAAATTGCTGATATCTTCACCAAAGGACTCACAAGTGAAAACATCATTTCCTAAAGGACCAGTTGTACATGTTCAATCACCATGTGCAATTTGAGGGGGGAGTTAATAATATGTTCTTAATTTATAGTGTATGTTGTATTCATCTTATTTAGTTTTGTACGATGATGTTAAAGTAATCGTAGTGACGGGCATAATCATATGATGCAAATATATATATTTTTAATAAGAGGCACAAATCCTCAAGTAAAATCTAAGAGGGGATTTCACGCACTCCTCTCTCTTGTTCTCTCTCTCTCTCTCCGTGATATTAGGTCCTACTGTGTGGACACGGTTCTTCTCTCCTAGAGCTGATCCTTCTTGGGAGTTCTCTCTTGATTGTTTGAGATCTTGATCCCATTTAGCATGGGATCTGAATCCTATTTAACATGGGGATCATGATTCACAATAATTAAATATATGATCAAGTTATATTGTTTTTGGATAATTGATATATGATCAGATGAATTTCAAATTAAAAGGAGTTTCCATTTATAAAGATGATTCTAGTCGTTAACTTGCAGTACTAGTAGAGTGTGTGTGTGTGCTGATTTGACATGTGCATCTCTATTTTGAATATAGGAAATCACAGATTGATCTCAGGGTTCTATAAACACCATCAAAAGACTCTGGTTAATGGATATATTTTAGTTTTCCTTTCTTGTCATGGCCCTATATTCTCAATTATTTTTTGTGGGACCTCTCTTGATATGAAATTTCTGTGGTGCATGTGCATATAATATTGCAAAATTACTCATTTGTTTTTTAAATTTTTTACGTTTCTACCCTGTTTAATATTCATACATACACACATTGCTGGATGCTCTTTGACATGCATTTCCCCTATATATTCTTGGGGCGCAAGTGATCTCATACACTTCTTAGGTAGGGAACTTGAAGCAGATACGGTGTTATGTAATGTCAAAGAGTGGTTATTACTGTTTAAATGTGCTTTTGTTTTTAACCATTTACCTGCTTGTTGGACAGTTAACTTTTTGAAGTTAATATTAAAATTTGCTTAGTCAAGCTTGGATAATTAAAACATCCCTGTTATTCTCATTTTACTTCTACAGAAAATTTTATAGTTTAGTTTGGGTTTATCCTAACTTATCATGATGATAAATCTCCAATTACAATTGTTTTTCTTGAATCACTGCAATTCAAATGATATAAGGCAAGATCATTTATTTTTAGTTGATTTTTTGTAATTCCTCTTGAAGGGGGATGAGGTCTTGTCTGTCAATGGAGAGGAAGTCACTGGGAGATCAGCATTTGAAGTGTCTTCGCTCTTGCAAGGTCCTAAAGATACATTTGTTACCATTGAGGTTGTTTCCATTTATTTAGATCTTGTGATGCATTGCCTATGCATATTTCTTTTGTATCTTTATAACATAAATCATAATAGTGTTGATCCTCCCTTGCAGTTCAGGCATGGAAACTGTGGACCAATACAATCTGTCAAAATCCAAAGGCAGCTTATTGCTCGCACCCCAGTATTTTACCGCTTGGATCAAACAGAGGATGGAAATAATTCAGTTGGATACATACGCATCAACGAATTCAATGCTTTGGCAAGGAAGGATCTAATTATTGGTATGTGTTGATCTGCTGGTTATGAAGCTAGTAATTTCGGTGTCCAGTGCGTTGCCATATGGTTATTCGTCAATTTTTTTCATACTTTTTTATGGCTCCTCCACAAGCACTTTGTGAAGCATGTTAAATCTATTACGTTGTTTTTACTTTTTTTTTCTGTTCTTGGTATGTGTTCTCTTCTTGACGAGAATTGCACGGGGAAGTCTACTTTCTGATGGCTTTGTCATATGATGTGAAGGGGTTACAACAGCATCATCTGGTGGTACTGTTGAGAAACTGAAGCACAATGACAATGTTCTCAGTGTGCTAGAAAATTCAATCCTCGATGAGTGCTTTGTCTTGCAATTATTAAATAAGCAAAAAAAGTGGGTTGGATTTCTTTAGGCTTAAGTCTATCTAGCCCCCAGGAAGAAAAATCGAAGCGTGCAATTTGGGCAAGAACTTCAAAACAGTGATGGGATAGAATTGTGGCAAAGGTGGCGCTTGAGCTGATTCAATTGGAGGCGAAATTGTGCTAGAGCATCAGTATAATGAATTGACTACTATTCTTCTCGATCATTCATGGCTTTCATTGATTGGCTGATTTAGGCTCTTGAATGCAAGCTGAGATTGGATAAAATTCTGTACTGCGTTTCACACTACATGGAGAGCGGGAGAAGTTGATTCTGAGCTGGTGCTGTTGACGATTTGGTTATCAAGAAGCACTAGTGGGCTCACAGTGGTGATTTGTCCTTACCTAAAGAAAGTTGAGTTCAATCTTTGCCACAGTGATCGATGATTTGATCTTGGTGGTGGAGCAAAGTGAGTTTCTTTTGGGCAAAAATCAATTAAGGATTTAGAATTTCAGTTTTATATAGGGGGTTAAAGATTTGTTTTGGCTGGCAAATTTAAATTACTGCAGATCAGGTGAAAATCAGTTTGGGAGTAGCTAACTTGAATCTCCAGAAGATGGAAATCAAGCTGGACCATTTTCCCTTGATTAGTGACAAAATAAGACTCATTCGTAACGATGGAATGAAAAACATTGATGCTCGCTATTAGACCATTCTAGTCAATCTTAATAGTGGGTTTTCTTTTATCTATAGGTTTTGAAGGATTGCAAATCCATTTTGGAGTAACCTCTTAAATTTATGGACTTTTGAAGGACTTCTAATTGAGAAGTCTGTATGCTGTGAGATTCTATCTATTGTCCTCATGTCGAACTGCCTATTAGCTGCCCTTTAGCCGAAGGTTTGCAGTTGATGTAACTGTGAAGCCTTTGAGCCTCCTACTCCCTTAAACTCTTCCAGAGCAGACAAAACTGATTAGTTTTCTTGGTTCTGAATTCTTTGCCATTAGTTTTGTACATGCACTTAGCTGATGGATCTTGTTAGTCTGTGAATGAGACGATTTAGAAATGCGTGGTATTTTCTTTTTGAAATTAATTGAGTCTATACCCTCTACTTATACTAATTCTCTTAGGATTTAAGTGAAAGATGTGGCTCTGTAGAATTCTAGTGTATAAATTCAAGAATTTTTCATTGTTTTCTGTATTAATAGCTGGAATTTCTGCTTATAATTGCCATTATACAATGCAAAAATATGCCTACTTCAGTCTAGGATCTTTAAATCTTACTTCCAAAAAAAAAAAACTTCATTTAAAAATGAACTCGAACTTACAACTTAGTAAACAAATATTAATATTGAACAATAAAATAAATAGAACTGGTGTACTGAAATATTGCCTCGGGTTACCCCTTTAGGACTTGGCACACCCCCCACCTGATCACCTGACTGATGGTGCCACTTGATCTTTAGATCCCTTTGAATCCACAAATCTGAACTGAGAAGCACCTTATATGAAATCTATGGTGTTGAGAGCATGGGTCAAGATTAGGGTTTCATAGACCCTTTCCAATCATTAGGGCATGCAAGAAGTGGCAATGTCGTAATCCAGGCTGTAAATTTAAAAATTTCTTTCTTTTCTTTTATTCTTTGCTGGAAATTCTACTTACAAGTGCTGCAAGTACAATTAAAATAGGCCAACTACAATCTAGGATCTTAATAACTCACTGCCAAAGATAAACATTACACAAATCTAACTATTTTAAGAAATTAAATAAGGCAAGAACAGCAGTAAATAAAATTAAATAACTAGAAGCCTTATTGATTTGTGCTTAGGGTTATCCTCTTAGGACTTAGCATACCCCATATCCGATCACCTGATTGCACTCCATCCGAGAACCTATTGAATCCACCAATCTGAACTGGGAAATACCTCTGGAACTCCCGTTTTCAACCTTATGGGACTAGAGAGAAAAAAGAAACAATTAGGGTTTCATTAAGAAACCTTTTCAACTTAGGGGCATGCCATAAGTGGCACCTCCCCAATTTCTAGAACAAGAGCGCTGGACGTGCACCCCTCCTTGACTCTCCTTTGGGTGCATGTCGCCCCAACAATTGACCCAAGTCCAACTTCTATTTAAATTAGAATTATAACCAATCCAAAACTTCCTAATATCTTTCCAAAATCTGTAGGAAGTCAAAATAATTAGAGTTTGGGTCGAACCAAGCTCCTAATTAAAACAATCTTTTAATGTTTAAAAGATTCCCTTAGAATGACCTTTATAAAAAAGAAATGTCACATAAATAAAAGAAAGAGGGTGTGCCACCCAAGAGAGCTTAAGTGGTCGCCACAATGGCCGACATCCTACTCATGGGTGGCACACATGTGGGGCTGGATTTTGAACCCCACATGTGCCCTTCCAAATTTCAGAAATTACAAAAATTCCTTTTCAAAGGATTTACAGCATAATTTTTTTTTTAAAAATTCTGAAAGTTGCATAAAAAATCATAAAAATATTTTTAATACCAAAATAAAATTAAAAAAGTGGACTGGTACCAATAGGTCAAAATTAGCGACAATAAGGGTACTCCACTGGACCCAAGAACCATGATCCACTACTATTTTCTTATCTAATCCAATAAAAACCCATGACCCATAGTCTCAATCCAGGGGCTCGTGATTGGATTGTTAAAGTTAAACAATAAACAGTGGGACTATGATCTTGGAATGTGGATTTCAACCCTCCTTTAAGAGCAAGTCCAACATTTGTCACCGCAGTACAAAGGGGGTTGTCTTTAGGTACATGTACACTTGTCCCGTTATGGGGTTGCTTCCCAGTAATGTGGGTGTCATGTATACATGCCGTGCGTAAGGTTTATTAAGGCTTTGGCCGTTGCTCTTATAGGCCTACAACTGCACACAAGAGACCATAGAGTTCTCCTAGCCTACAAACGTCATTCGTGGGCATCTCTCCAACCTCAACAAGGGATAACCCACTATAAACCCTTCTTGATAGGGCTACATGCCCAAGGGTAAGGGTTTTTAACATAACTGGGGCCATAAACCACTCAACCCATGGTCAATCAACACACACTCCCCCTAAAGTGCATATTCCACTGTAAATTATCATTTTTACAAGCTCTCTAGGCCTTTAAAGGCCACAAAACCCAACATCCAAGGCCCTGCTAATGAAGTTATGCTTGCCATTATTACCTGTAAAAGATATTGGAATGAAACTTGTCAAGAACTTAACTCTAGATTTTTGCATTTGAATGTTGATTTATAGAACTATAACTTTGATAATGTGTTCATCGGGTTATTATTCATACCACACATCAACTATGGATGATAATTATCTTTAGTTCCAATTTCCAAATCAAAATTCATAATTATTTCAGCCAATTTATATGTCACATATTTATGCACTTAGAATATTAGTATTTGATTTTGTGGTATTACAGTTCCAAAAAAAAAGGAAAACATATTAAGGTTCTATGAGGAGGGAAACAAGATTTTATGATTGATTAGTTCATTGTCTCTTGAATCTATGAAACACCGTACTTGTTCAAGAATCTGGACTAAAGAACAATCGAATCTAGTATCATTATATGTAGAAACCAGTTTCAACAAGTGTAGAATCGAGATTCACCAATTGTGGAATCGAGAATCAGTAAATATTGGAAACGAGATTCTATAAGTGTTGGAATTGTGATTCCTAAAAGAAAGAATCGAGATTCTAGACTTCAGGGAGACAGGTTTCGTGAAGATTCCTTGTTATAATCACCGAGTCGAGATTCCAAATCGGAATCACAACCTTCGGTGAGAGATTTGGGTAACTATGGTTTGGGTTGGGCTCACTCGCATTTTGGGGTTGAGATCCCTAGATTTCAAGTTGTATGGATCCTGGTCCCTACCGTAGGGAGCTTCCTGCTTATCATGCTTCCTTTGTTTTGATCGCCATCCCGGTAACTATGATTCGATTCAGCACCAACTATTCATAACCATGGAAATATGGAATCCACATCCAGAAATGCAAGCATGCATACACAACAAGGATAATAGGAAAGTTTACAAATTTTATGATAATAAAAATGTTGACTGCTTAGAGTGGAGCTCTTGCTCTTGAACCTTGATCCTGCCCATGTTCCCAAACCTCTCTCCAAGCATCTATATATCCAGTCACCATATATTTTTAGCATCACATGTTCGTCATTTGAGCACTGAGAAACTTGGTTCAATTTTTTGTTATATTTTATATTTTGTCAATGTTAATAACATGCTTTTCGTAAAATTAATTCTAAAATGGCACAGCAGAAAACAATTTTTTAGTACCAAAGAAAGTATTATTTATTATTGAGCATGGGCCAGACTAATGTGCAGGAGCAACACCTATTTCTTAAATATGCTTGTATCAATCCCTAGATTGAGATTTAGCGTTTTGTGCGTGATAGAAGAAAGCGGTAAGGGGAAAAATCCCAGGTTATGAATGTGGATCCAACCGATATAAAATTGTCTGTGGAAGTACTTGTGGACCCTTACTGTAACATTAGGACATGCATACAGTACACCACAGATGTAAATGCATACACTGATGGATGCACTCACCCATAGTTGGTGCATGGATATCTAACATGCCCATGCCCAACTTGCTAATATTGATTTGAAGCCAACCATCTGCCAATAAAAAATTCGCCATTTGGTCCTCAGTTGCCACATAAAGTGTTAATGATAATGTGGCAAACCACCTAATGTGATTGTCTTGGAGAGCAACCAAAGGGTGACAATTGTTTTGATTTAAAAACTGATAAATTGTGTTTCTCAGCATGTCTCATTTCTTGGAGTCTACTACTTTCAGGTGAACCTCACATTTATTTTGACTATAATCCATAAGTATGAATACATACTACAGATACAATTCCAAAGAGGGCATCACCATGCCACAAAAAGAGTTGATTGATTAGAGTTTTAAGTTTTTCTCGAATTTTAGAGGATGCATTTCAATTAGTAACTGAGATCTATAAAATACAGCTTGTGATAGTTTTCTCCTCTTTAACTGTTTCACTTAGTTGTTTGTCCTATTTTTCTATTACTTATGTATATTATATAATTGGAGTTTTAAGTCTTTCTCAAATTTTCGTCGTATTTATGTTTTTGTTGTTTCACTTTCTTCATTGAATGCCCATTTATTTATGAAGACCTATGAACATGATCCATTAAATACAAAAACATACATACGTAAACAGATTATGCACATATGATTAGAGTTACAATACTCTTAAATTCTTTAACTCCTAAATTTATTTTCTTTCATTGTATTTTGCAGTTCGGTTGGAAGGATGATTCGTTTTCGTTGCTTTTCTCTTTTACTAATTGAATTATTGATTCTTTGCAGCATTAAGACATCTTCAAGACTCCGGTGCATCATATTTTGTACTGGATTTGAGAAATAATCTTGGTGGACTCGTGCAGGTATGCAGAAAGAAATTGATATGCAGAAAGAAATACCCTCTGTATACAAATAGCCTTCCCATAGGAAATTCTGTTTCAGATGTTTCTAAATGTATGATATTGTGTTCCCATTATCAAATTTGGATCGAGTGGAATAACTCCATTATCAAATAGTCTTCTCACGCTGAATATGTAACAGCAATCACAATTCGATCTTTATCTTCAGTTGCAAAATCAGTTGTAAAGCTCTGATATTGCCTGTGAATTACATACAGGAACCAAATTTAGTAGCTGGATCTTTTTGCAACAATGAACTCAGGACACTGACTAAATCGGGGAGAGTGGTTGCTCAATATAGAATTTAAATAAATGGTTCTCCTTTTTGGGACAAGGGGTGCTCTCCATTCATGAGGTGCATGATAAAAGGAGAATACACAGGGTCTGAAAGTTAATTCGGCATCCTGACTCACTTTATTGTAGATGTGGACTATCAAGAACACTGATGTTTCAAATCTGTTATCTCTATTATTCATGTCTCTGACTTGAATCTTACAGTAATTTCAGCTTATAAATAGCTAGATGCTTATAACTAGAGGGATGGTCAGGACTTTTGGAAGGATGATACTTTTTTCCACCAATGAGAGGATATCCTTGAGCAAACTGGACTAAGTTGGAATGAGCCTCCTGGAGATGCATGAAAACAATGTTCTGCTCGTAAACCTCTAGAGCTATCAAAGAATGGGTACTTCGATTGATTTACCCTGACCAAGTATGATTCCTTTGAGATACACTAGAAAATCCAATTCCATTTTGGAATAAAAGCTATCTAGATTGTATATATGAAAATGTGTTTTGGTCGATAAAACTCCTTGGGTGATATCAATTTGAGCTTCAAAATTACATTTTAAGGATTGCTGGCCTCATGTCTTTGTCATTAATTATGCTTCTTTTCCAAATGAGGAAATATGTGCAGTGGCCAGTACATTCTTCGTCAAGACAGTTGGGTCCTTGTGTATGCAAAGTGTTTCATACATCTCCAGACGTACATTCTATGTGATTGACCTCTAGAACATCACATATGATATGTGCTGCCATCATGCATACCTTGTCTACTTGAGTGCTTCGTAATTAAATTCTAGTTTCTTGGTAAACCAGTCTGCCACTCGATCATTAGAACAATTATGATAGGAATGAACAATTTTCTTTCTCAGAAACCAAAAGTCGAATTTGTCCTATTAAAAGTAGAAAAGTTACTACATTCCCGATATGAATCACTTCTATTTGTTTAGATTTTTTATCTTTTGTACACATACTAACTTGTGGAAAACGAATTAAATACTAGGTAGCTAGTGTGTACAGATGAATAAGTAAACTATAGGGAGGATATAAACAAAATAAAAACATACCATTCATAAACATATTAGTGGAATAAGAGAAGAAAAGAAGCTTGGGCAGCCTATAAAACAAGAGAGGCAACCTTGTGGAATTCCACACACAATTCCGGGCTCCCTGATGACTAAAAGGTGTGGTTGTGTAGAATTCCAAATTGGTATTGTACTCACAATTGCCACAATACAATGCACAAACGTAGTACAGTCTAGGATCTTTGAATCGTACTGCCAAAACAAAACTTTATTTAAAACTGAACATGAACTTACAATTTAGGATATAAATATAAGTCCAGAGCAATGAGACTTACTGAACTTTTTGCCTAGGGTTAGTTACCCCCTTCGAACTTAGCATACCCCACACCCTATCACCAAACCTATAGCGCAATAAATCCTTAGGTCTTGTTGTATCCATTGAACTAGGAAGCACCTCTGCAACACCCGTCCAGAAAATTATGGGGCTGAGAGCATGGGCTACAAATTAGGGTTCCTAAAAACCGTTCTCAAACCTTGGGAAATGCTACTAAGTGGCACCTCTCCTAGCCTAGTCTAGCGTTGGGCGTGCTCCCTTTCTCTTTGTTTTTTTGGTGGTGCGTTTTCCCCCTTGATCCTTATGGGGGGTAGTGTGCCACCTAGAGAGGAGAGAGAGCTAGAGAGAATATAGGGGGTTGGCATGGAGGAGATAGAGAGGCCTGAAAACTGTGTAGAGAATGAGGGGGGATCCCCACCTTATGTAGGGTGCAACGGCCCTATGGCGTTCCAATAAGATTAGAATTCAATATGACTTAGGATATCCAAGTAATTTGTGATCCCTGAAATTGACCATCATGATTTAGGGAGGAATCTAGGAGCCTTTATTCCCTGAATGTTTGACCTATATTCACTTCTAATATATCTAGATGTGACCAATCCTAAATAATCTAGATTTCTTTTTTTATCACAAAGGCATATGTAGGAATTTCTCAAGATTAAAAAGAGTCGTGTTAAAAAAAAAAAAACACAAAGCTCTAGGTCCCCAAAATATCTCACAAAATATTTCCCAAAGATACTTTAACTAACAAAAAATGTTTTTGAAAACAATTTGATTCCCCTCAAAGTTTCTAGAAAATTGGGAAACATGCCGCATTCCACTAGGTGCGGCATTTGGCCTCCATCTCCCACACCATGTGGGCCCCACACGCATAGGGATGGGCCCTTAGCAACAACCACAACCTGCCTCCCCCCAGGGGCGGTCGCAAAAAAAACCCAAAAAAAAAAAAACCTTGTTCCCACAATATTTGATCAAATTTTGAAAAGACCTCGTTTATTAAAAAATGTCAGAAATAACCTTTGGGGGGTTTTCATACATTTTATCGTGGGACATCTTCACGAGCAGTTCTCGACATGGAGAGTGAAGATGCCCCTTGATAGTTGGTCCTTAAATAAAAGACAATCGGGATTATATAAAGAATACATGATGTTCTCTAGTCAACTTGATGATGAGTTGAAGACGTTCCCAAATCTTGTCGTGTTAATAAGGATCATATTTACCTAAATTTCTCGCTAGAGGTGATGATTCCGATTTGGAGATTCTTACTAGGAATCTTCACAGAACTCTTTTTTGTGAAGTCTAGAATCTTGATTCCTTATTTTAGGAATATCAATTCCAACACATTTAGAACACATGGCCATTATTTATCAATTACTTGTTGAAACCGGTTTCCACTTTTACAGGAATTCTACTACTTCCCCCTCTTTTTTTTCTTTTTGCTTTTTTTTTCTTGAGAAGTGATGTTTTAAAGTTTTCAAGGCATCAAACTACTCAAGCTAGACGCTCAATCTTAAGCAGCGTTCAAAAAATCGAACTGGAACGGTTAACCAGACATGGGGCCGGAAGCGTTTGGATCAGAATTGGGCTAACCAGGCTGGTTTGGTCTGGTAGAATTTTTTTTGTAAGAATGGGTCAAACCCTCCTATCCCCCCCCTCCCCCACCACCACAAAAAAACAAAAAACAAAAATTGAAAAATGTAGATTAAGTGTATACTATCTTATTACTTATATTTGTTTTAAAAACAATTAAAACAACTTTTTATGTAAATTAATATTTGAGGACTATGGAGATATGCAAGACAATTTATAATTTGAGATTAATTCAATGGAAGGAGCTACAAAGTCCAACTAATAATGGCTAGTACTCATAAGAGTGGTGAGGGGGGTTAGGGTACTGTGGTGTCTAGCTATCAGTTACGAATTTTTTTTGTTTTTTTTACCATGATAAAATTATTACAATTACATAAAAATTCACTAATTAATATTTTAATCATGATAAGTGTTTTATAAAAATTTCGAAGCCCATTAAATGTTTCAAGAAATAATAAAATTCAATTTTTTTTTTTTAAAAAAAAAAATTATTTGGGATATTTTTGTAATTAGAAAAAGTTTATATAGAGCCGAGGCTCTAAACAATCAAATTAGAGCCTCCTCAAAAATTTCACTAGAAGAGGTTGTTTTGATGCCCAAATATCCTCAAATTGATCATCTCGACATCGAGATGCATGGAAATGAGAACAAAAATGGATTTCAAGTTTTGGAAATAGTGTATTTTGGAACGCCTTTTTTGACCGTTAATTTTCAAGATGTTCAAGTTTCATAGATCTGTCGATCTACAGTATCTTTGACGCTTTAAACTTTATAAATAAAGATGAAAATATATTTTAAGGCTATCACAAAGATTTACAGTGTTGAAACCACATTTCTTAATACTATTTGAAGGCAGGCTCCAATTTGATTGTTTGGAGCCTAGGCTCTATACAAACCGCACCTTTTGTAATTTGGGGTATATTTTTTTAAAAACTTATCTATGATTTATATGCAATTTTTAGGAAATGTTTTGGCTATAAATACTGGGTCTCACAATTTTCTAGTCTTTTTTCAAAAAGTAGATTTTTTTATTACTTTATTAACTTTTTTGTCATTTATGGCAAATCCTACTTGTTTAACATTTTTTAAAATCTATTTTTTTTAGTACTTTTTAATCAATTTTTTGGCAAATATGTGTTAAATGTCAGAATTTTACTTTTAAAGCCTAGAGACTGCCCTCGGATCTACTGAAGCACCCAATGGCTTTACTTCTCAACCAAACGAAATTGGATTTGCAATCAAATTTGAATTTTCTTGCAACTAAATTGGACTTGCAAACTAAATTTTCTTTGAATTTGAATCAACTAATGTACCCATGTCAGTGTAGTTATTCAGTGGAATTGCATTACTTGCTCTAAGTCACAAAATATCATCTAAAGTCTATGTATAATAATCATGAGCCGCATGTAAGAAACTGACACTTAGAGATGAATAGTCAATAGGCCATGGTCATGAGAGAGCTAAAATAAATAAATAAAAATTAATGAAAATCTCTTCATTCAGATTCAGAACATTATGATTATGTCAATAACAATACATACAACATAATTTTCTTACAATGGCTACAAGAACATATCGATACATGATTGCACATTAATGCATCTAAGTAAATGAACAAATATACTTTCTAACAAAAACATTCCAATTAACAAAAAAGAAAATAAAAAATACTACCATAATATTAGATTAAGACATTAAAGACAAAAAAAATATGTCGCAAGTTTAGATTTTAT